ACACCCCGCCAGCCCGGCGCCGAGCGGCGCCCAGCACGAACAGACACACTCCGCTTTGTATCTAAATCTTTATTAGAACAATCCCCAAGAGCTGTAAAACAGTGAAGTAAGAACAAAATTAAATATTAAACACTTTCGTTATCAAAGATATTTAAACAATACGTTCCTATTTCTGCATAGCAGAAGCAAACAGGTTTTAGAGCTCAAACTGTCATGCTCATGTTAATTTGGTTTTGGCAAGATAATAATATAACCTTAGTAATCACATTAATGAAACAGTAACCTCCCTTCCATTTCTTAAACCTTGAAGAGCCTTTCTTATGATTTTACAACTCGTCATTTGGGACAAATACATGTGGACTTTTTGTAGCATAGAGTAAATGACAATTTTAATATTAGTAGCACTAGTGTTACTTAAACATGAAGAAACAGTTATCTTTCTAATCTGATTACAGCGCAGTACAAATTACATATTACCTCAAAAATCATCGCCTGTATCAAAAGTTAAAAAATTTAGAATAATTTATAAAACACTTCCAGAATAGCAAATTATCAGTCTTGAAATGGAGAATGAACTTTATGCTTGTGAACATGCCAACAGACGTATTTGCTAGCTTTTTTCCCTTCTGTTTTAAGTAGCAAGAGCACAGTTCTCCCTGCAGTTACATGGGTACAAATGTGTCATCATTGTAACTGAAAGCAGAATAGGTCCTACTGAGGGCCTATATATATATATACACACACATAAGCCTATATATATATAAAAGCCCTATACTATACCAGAAATAAAAGCTATAAAAAAAAATCTACAGTCTTGCACTGTTTTTATTTAATTATTTGCAACACCACAATTGTCGTGTGTTTTCTCCCGGACCACACAGTCTACTTTCATGATCTGACAACAGCAACAGGGAAATTGTGTGTGCTGCATTATGCAGTTCAAATACATCTGACACCTTTTCTACGATTCATTTTATATCAGTTAATTTGAAATGAAGAGAGTATTGTTTTTCCTATCTAGCTTTTTCTGTTTTGTAGTCTACATGGTGTGAATAAACTCCAAAATATAAGCCAGGTAAAATAATAGCCAGTAAGGCACTTTGTCGGAGAGGACGCAGCTGTCCAGGCTGAGCGACTGGTCAAAGGGAGACAGTCTACGTTACCAAAAACAGTCAGTCTATTCTTCGTCATCACTCCTCTGACAACCCATTTTTAGAAGAATACTTACTGACTGTCCCAGAATCAGCTTGACATTGCGTCCACCAAAATCTTTTTCTTGTTCTACAGCAGAACATGCAACAGTAAAATAGTTCATACTTCTAAATACTAATGTTTAAAAGACTATTCAGCACCCTTGCAACACCCGAGAAACAGCTGCTGAATAATACTTGGAAAAAAAAGCCCTCAGCGTAAGAAATGATCCCATCTTTCTTGTGTCTTTGTTTTGTTTTATGGGGTCACTTTTTTTTTTTCCCCTACAAAATTTGAAGGCTTGACATTAAAACTTTGGTCTAAAACATGTAAATGAAAGCCATCCATTAGTATGTCATAGGGAGACACAACGAATCCAACCAGAGCTAAACCAAACTGACTGCATGGATATGATAGTGGGCGTTTTCTACTGTCTCTTGGCTTCTACATTCTGCTTGTTCGAGATCTTCAAAAGAGTTCTTTCTATTCACGTAAAAGGGTCTTTCTGCAGAGCCACCCTGCCTTTCCAAAGCTGCTCCCCGGAGAGGAGCGCCCAGCCGGGGGCCGGGCAGGACCACGACCCGCTGAGCCCTTTGCGCGCGCAGCACGACGGGCTCCCGCTGGGTTTTCAGTTCCAACATCTCCTCCTCTGCCGCACTGTAGGCACGAACAACCACCAGCCTTCTGCCACTTTTGTCACAGGGCTGGCCTATGCCTCGTGGAACGGGTGGGCATTTTGTCACCGACTCCCGTGGGCTCGGGAACAAAGCATATACGACATATTTTACCATGTTACAGATAGCCACGTGTTCCACTCTCTAAAGTGAAGAATGGAATTTTAAATTTTTTACTAAATCGAGCAACAAAGTGAAGGTCCAAATCCATAAGCGTGGCTGCTAGTACCTCCTCTGTGGTGTAAGTCTGCAGACTCTGGCCCACAGGATTAGTTAGGAACCATTATAATAAGTTAGTCTTAAAATATTTTAAGTGATTCTTTCCCAAGTAAATACTTGCATTAATTTCTACTTAATTCATTTTAAAAAGCCAATTTTAATATTAAATCATTATGATTTATTTATTCAATTTATTGATTACAAAATCTACATGGTATTGCTTTGTATTTTCACAGTTCTCATAATTATATCATTAAGAAAATGGCTTTTAAATTTTCTTCTCAGAAATGATGATCACTTACATTCTAAATAATTTCACAAAATAGTGAGTGGAGCAAATTTATACATATATATATTTACTGTATATAAATAATAATACAATTTAAAACTTTCACTTTTAGAAATTCCTTTAGTAAATGCATAGGTTTGTTACAAAAGTCTTCTAATCAAATAACTGTATACTATTTCTATTATGTTTTCTTCCTAATAAACTCTATGGTTACATTCATATGATAAAAAAAGCACGCTGTATTCAGAAATATGCTTTTTCAGTTGAGCTCCCAGTAAGACACTCAAGTCCAGTAGAAATATAGATTACTTAATGCAGTTTCTTTAGCTGCAAACTAATCACACCGTAGTATTTAAAAAAAAAAAAAAAAAGCGTTAGCAGATGGACTGTAATCAGACCAGCAGCTTTTTTAATCACAGAATGGTGACATGTACCCCAAAAGTTACTGACTTAATTCTCAAAAGAGATTAGAATAATGGGTGTATATTCAATGCCACGCACATAATGAGAAAGGAATGATGACGATGATGAAAAACTTCATCAGTCAAGAGTCTCATTTTCTCCGAAGGTAGGTTTCTCAGCCCTTTCAAAGTCAGGTTTACTCTAGGGTATCTCAAGAGGGGTCATCAAAAACTGAAGATGCCCACAATCAGTAGTCATGTCTGAAACTGTACGCCTTTATTTTACATTATTTGAGTCCTAAACTGAACCACTCATTTCTGCTTCAGGGGAAAGGGCTACAGTGCCCACCGGATCACAGAAAACGCACACGAGTATCCTGTCACTCACACCTCAGCTCGCAGGATTTCAAGATCCTACCACGCCCAGGACTGCAAGCCTGTGGGTGGTAATCACTTGTGCATCAACGTGACCCCAGACCTGCTGCACGAGGGACAGTATTTCTGCCTTCGTAGTGATCACAATCATCACAAACTGGAGGCAGGGGGTAGAGAGCAAAATCACTTCGGGATGTGGATCGTCAGTAAATTTTCCCCAGAAACTTGCATTCAAATCATCTGGAAAACAATTTGCCTTTCTCTTTGTGACACCCATGGACTCCTGGGGCTAGAAAAGTATTTCCAGGCACTGAACTCCTGTAACAGACCTGGCAGAGGTACGGCACATACCACTCCTGGAAAGCGGACAAGAGTGGAATACCTTATTCAGTACAGTGGAATCCACGAAAACTAGGGGCAGGCCTCAGTACGGTTGGGTCCTTGGGCATCCACGAGACTAGTAAATTAAAACCTTTTCAGCTCAGCTCATGGCAGTAACAGACTTGAGAAGTACTCCAGTGTAAGACTTTTTCCATGAGCAGAGCTGTTACGAACCTCAGTGACAGTTCTACTAACGGGAGGGTCATAAAACTGAAGAGAATGTTAATGTGCTTTCTACCAATAGATTTTGTACTAATGACTGGGCAAATTTAATAATCAAACAGCAAACTAAATATTTTGGAGCATCTTTCAGTAGCTAAACAATTCATCCTGTCTCATGAGAAGACTCAGGTTCGATGTCTTAACACCTTACTGTGTGAGCCACCGGGAGCCTGGAGCCCCGCAGAAAGAGCCACCTGGCTCTCGGGACCCGCACGGCCATTGCAACGTCTCGTTAAGAAGCCCTTCTGAGCTAGGCAGAGGCAATGGAATTCCTTGTGCACATATACGGCCAAGACTTTCTTCCAAGGAAAAAAAGACTGCATTTGGTTTTCCTTTCAGCGAAGCTCAACTTCCTCATGATGTAGAACACAATCAGAGACTCGTTAGAGACAGGGGGATATTAACACAAGTGCATCTCTTTTAGACATCAGCTAAAAATGATACATTCACCATCTTGTACCAGATGAAACCTCATTTGTGTGAATCACAAATCACTTCAAGAGCAGTGGGACCTTCTCTCAGTTAGTTATATCATCTTTTAAGCACAACTCACAGAAAACTTCACTTTAAGCAGTATCAATTATATTCTTCTCTGACTACCTTTTTTGGGACCTGCAGGGTACCATCATTTCTTAAAAGATGCAGTTGTGGATGTGATTAAAATATCACTACATTTTTCAGTTTAGGGAATCATTAATGCATGTATAATCACAGTTTAAATAGCTGTGAACCAGCTTGTACAAAAAAATACAATCATAGCACCATATTTACAAATTTAGTACCATCTCCTGGTTAACTAGGGAGTCTCGAACTATCTTTTTATGGCTAATTAGGTTATATGGTAGTGCTTTCAAAAAATTGCCTGAATTTCTTTTACAAATATACACTTATAAAAAGAAACATTATCAAAACTGCTGTCATCTAAGGCAGCAACTTTTGTTACAAAAGTTATTAAAACATCATAACATTATAGACTTAAAAAAGCTTCAAATTTACATTTTCCTTTTCATAGGCACTCTATAAACTAAAACGTGGCCTTGTTTTCACAGCTGTTAGTTAAATGTTACCGATGTTGTTCATTTTTTTAGATATAAGCAAAAGGAAAAAAGAATCACCCATTAACCAGAAGCATCATTTACAGTTTTTACTTTTGCCTACTTTATACAAGTTTTGCTTAAAAGTGACACTGTTCTGATGTTGAGATTTAGTATATGTTATCCCACTGCCTTCTTAGGGCTTAGTTCCTTCTTGCCTAGAATTCGGTGAAGGCTAGCTGACATGAAGTAGGGTTTTGCTGTAGATCCATCATTCCTTTCCAGGTCTTCACCTGAATTTTCACAGCAAAAGCAGCCAAAAGAGCAAACAGTAGTACAACCACAGAGAGAGAGAGAGAGAGAGAAAGAATTGAAGAAAGGAGCAAAAGACCCAACATTAAAAAAAAATCTTAATCAAGGCAATTTAGCTGTATTGTTAAGTTGATGAAGGACGCTCTAAAATTTCTATTTTCTCAAACCAGAAGAGGTTTTACACAAAGCAGAGACACAAGCATCTAGCCATTTTTAAATGACAGCAATATATCCTTTTTATTCTCCAGTTCTTTGGTTTGGCAGTATAGGTGGAAATTTTCAGAAACACTCATGCCTCCACCGAAGACTGGCATTTTGGCTACTTCTTGCTAGAAAATTTGTCCCAAAGAGAGCTGTGGATTTAAGCATTTTTTAAAACTGGACACTTTTGCACTGCCTAAGATAAACGTCTTTTGAAAACCTGATGCCACAAGTGCACAGTATTTTATATGATCTCCTACTGTCCATTACTGAACGGAAGCATGGGAAGCAAAACAGAACATGAATTTAAAATAATGAGGCAGACATATTACTTTTTTTCCTACAGAAAAGGTCATGACTAAATCACTGGTCTGGGTTCAGCCCAGTGTTTATGCCATGCAGCAGTCACAGACCAGTGAATAATTTCACACTGATGGGCAATCTGGAGGGAGTGTGCAGCGAAGCACTGTCATTGCAACTGCAAGCCTGCAGAGGCAAACAGCTGTATCTGCAAAGCCAAAAAGAGAGCACTAGTTGTCAGGAATGGACAAAGAGGTTAGAGGAAGCAAATCTTCAGATATCTCCATGGCAGTATATACCATGTGTCTTTGGAATAAATTAAAAAGAAAATATGTTAATTTTTTAGTACACCAACAAACTTTCTAAATTTTATTAGTTTGATCAATTTCCATTTCATTCTAAATAATAGTATTTATTTATTTATTTATGGTTTGGCTTATTTCTTGGAGCGTTATTAGTGCTATGTCTGCCTGTGACCATTTGTTTGTTTAGAACCAAAGTCCGTAACTCGAGATAAATAGGACATAGCTCTCAACTAGACATCAATTTTCAGTTCCCTGACTGATTTTGTTCCTCTGATCCTTTGGCAAGCAAGTATTTCCAGAATCGCTGCTAACCTTAGTTCCTAGGGAAGCAGCCTTAAGAAGGTGTGTTCAAAGGAAAGAAAGAATTTATGCTATTGTAAGAGGATAATCAGTCTTACCACGTTTATCTTGCCTCAGTGATCCACTGTGCATATGATGGATCAAGCTTATGACTATTTCAGTATTCCCTTAGTATTATCAAATAATTCATCAACTGCAAGAACAATCACTGCCATGTAACTTCTACTTGGACCTACCAGAACGACTTTCATTAAAGACAAACTGTATCTTTATTTCTTCAATACAGTAAATCTAGCAAATGGAATGTATTTTGTAGTAAGTATATCCTCTTCTTATAATCATGTCCTAATTTGAGACCAACAGATTTCTTTTGTGATTTTAGTATTCTCTGACTGTACACTTTGAACAGCAGTCCCTCTGAGAGTGCCCATGATTGCTTGCCATTGGGGGGTCCAAGGGACAGATAGTTTTTTAAATGGTATTTCACACAAATTTGAAGGTAATTCAGCATAATACTTTTTGTTCAGGGCTATTAAGTTGAAAACAAAGGACCACCTATATACCAAAGAATAGCTTTGTTATTAACAAGAGGTTTGAGTTGCTTTGTAAAGAGCCCTGTACAGCAAACTGTTAATGAAAGTTAAGGATCACCTGAAAAACAAAAGCCAGATATCCCCAAGAGCCTTATAGCTACCTTCCATTACTTAAACTAATCAAATTTGAATACTAAACCACTTCTGCACTGAAGAACGCATCAAGGAGCCAGCCTGAAAAGCAGTTCGTTTTTCACACAGTTTCTAGCATGTCACCAGAATTCTGTAAGGAACGGATAAGACGGTTTTCTACTCCTCTTTCCATGACTTGCAGGTATTGGTGAAAGAAAACGTGGTACTTACAAAAGCAGAGGAAAAGCGTGTCGACACACATTGCATAGACGCTGAAGAACCCGTGTGCAACTAGGTAGGAGCCAATAATGACCGTCTACAAAAAACAAACCACAATAAAACCCCAAATTTAGTTTGGCATCAATGTGGCAGTGTTAACACAAGTCAGAAGCCTAGTCTGCTAAGCAAATTTGGGAGGATTTAATGGCAGTAATTCTACCAAAGGTTACTACTGCTGTGGAAAGGGATCACAGGTTCAAGACACTGTATCCTAACATGCAGTAGCCGCTAGTTTTCCAGCTGCCAAATTGGAGCCATTTCAACCCCCAAAGAGAATATAAGCCAAGAATATTCTGAACTCCTTCAAGATTATTCTAAAAAACCACTCATCCTGGAGATGTTCCAGAGTTTAAGGGGGCTACAGAAGGAGAAAGAGATGCATCACAAGTCCCTTCCATTAGAAGCCACACTGTCGTTGGTGCCTCACCACCAGCCTTTGGTGTCTGGGAAGTCTGAGCAAATCAGAAGTGAAACCTAGTTTTTCTGAAGGTGCAGAGTCACTGCAGTGCCACTTCTGCAGAAGGATCCAGAGGACCAGAGTGCAGCAGACCAGCCCTCACTTCAGTGGATAGTATGCCATTGAGAGGCTGACAACAGGAGCTGTTACCAGACCATGCCCCGAGTGGTCTGAGCACCTCAAACTGCCCTCAGTGTTCAGGAGATTAGATGGTTGCCTTACCAACAATGGTACCCAGTAGTAATTTAACGTCGGGGCTTCCTGTGCAAAGACTGGTATTCTCTGTGTGAAGAAAAAGAATGCAAGAACACCTGCAAGAAGCACAGAAGATTAGTGATTCCTATACTAACTCTGATTTCCTAACACGTAAAGAATGGATGAGACAAAACAAACAGACAACAGATCCAAGGTTGGTTTAAATAAGAGTTTGTAAACAATAAATTCCTCAATACTAATTATCTGCTGGATCTGTATTCTGACAGAAGAGATATGTAAATGAATCAATTACCATAAACATATTAATGGGCCCAGAAAGACTTCAATGAATTGTTTTGTTTCATCATTCCACTGGATTTAATAGCAAAATTAATAAATAATGATAAACAAGACAATGACATGGGATAACAAAGGCCATCGGGTGGATCTTTTCTAAAATAAAAGAAAAGTGAGCAAAATTCTGCTGCTTTAGATTTTATTGCTTGAAGAAATACTTAAGTATTTCAGATTAAAAGGAGAAATGGCAGTACTCGTGATAAGCAAGACAGTAAGTTTACAACAGACCGATGCATCTACAACAGAAATCGCCCAAAGACTTCGAAGAGGACGAAGACATAAATTAATTTCAGTATTTCATGGCTTACATGTTTCAGAGAGTATGTTTCAAATCAAATTTGCTACCCCAGTTTGAAAGTCATTCTACAGTAATGACAAAATATTTTAGATCTGTTCTTGGTACTAATTTTCAACTTTTGATTAAAAATAATTCATTAGTAATCTTTTAAAGTATACAGAATACAAAATACAGTTATTTGTAAAATAATGGTTTGAAACTGCTGTGACAATTTAGAAAAACCATACGGGAATACTGCCAACTTGAATTTCTGAAAGTGCCTGATTTTTAAAAAAATTCACTTTTCTGTCACAGAAAAACATTAATAACATATTTTTATATTTACTGATAACTAAGAAAACCCTATAAGGATGTTAGAAATATTCTATTTCTTTTACTACAGCTTAGAGCTATAATGGGCTTGAATACAGCAGAGCTTCAGGCCCATCTCCCGCAGACCTGCACCACCTCCTCTTGTATGCATGCTGTCTGCTACCAGGTGAATCTCATTTGCAATTTTGTTCAGCTCTTACGAAAGGAGAACCGATTGTGCCTGACTTATTGGATGTGAATTTGGTTTGATCCAGCTAGGATGCTTTGGCTGCAGAAGTCCTTGTGCCAGCAACACATACAAGAGTAAAAGCAATTATGCAAAAGATGCCATCAACAAAACGGGGGGGCGGAGGGGAAAAAAAGAAAAAATATATTTTAGTTCAATCTTGCAAATCCTAGAAACACAAGAACAGCTTCCCAAATAGTCAGACCAATGAGAACCTCCAACTGTTAACTAAGCATATACGAATATGGCAGGCATACTTGTAGGTACCAGAAAATAGAACATACCGTTTGCAAAAAATCGATTAGCTTACCTACACCACCAGCAACGAGAATTTTCCCGAGGAATAAAAGAAAGTCTGTAACTTTGTCCAGAACTGCAACTCTGTTCAGCAAAGGACAAATGATACATAATCATCACAAACCAGATATTTGTATTCTTTCTCCTTAAATCTATGGATAATTGACAAAACATGACCGAGAAGCTGTCTTCTGCTGGTTTCACAGACTGACAATACAACGACACGGAAACACAACACTGAGATGGGTTTTGTTACAGCTGAATCCCAGGAGGCAAAAAAGCACTGAGCCTCTTGTTGAGTTAGGCCTTAATGCAGCAATACTGCTACAGCACTTGAAGACTGGTTATTGCTCTTGCTGGTTAAAACAAAACAAAACATCAAAATATTTTTACTCCAGCCTTTCTACTAGGGTCACAGATAAGCCAGCTCAGAAGAGGCAAAGTAGACACCAAAACAAAAAGCAATGTTTGTGTAGATTACTGATAGGTCTTCTTTTCACTTGGTCCTATCTGGCCACATTTCACAACCCCATAACATCTACTAAACCTGCTATTTTAAGATATCGTGGTACAACAATGAAGGCAGGAGGCCTCAAAGCAGGGGGACAATCACAGATGAATGAATGAAGGTAGACAGAAAAATTGTCAGTAAATCTGCAGCCCTCATTGAAAGCAACAGCAGGGAGTTTCTGCTCAAAATCCCGCCAGCCTGTCTTATCAGAAACTGCAGGTAAATAATGGGATGGAAAATAAGCTTTGTATCATCAGCCTCTTGACAGCGCTGAGGCTATGGATATATATACAGCACTGACTACCATGAAAGATAAATGTTAAGAAATAATAAAGAGGACAAATCATCATTAACCTGTCAGAATTCAGAATTAGCAAAACACACAAGATAAAAAAATCTGTTTGAAACAGTAGAATTATATTTCTGGCTTTTAGCTATTGCTCTTACTGATTAAGAGAAAAAGCACAAAGGACAGACAGTGAGGCGATGTTCTGAAAGGAAACGAAGGCAGCTTCTCTTTCCTATTGCACAGGCTACAGTGTGCACTACCCGGTGTGGACACCACTGAACCGACATTAATACAGGGTAGCAGTAAACGCACTCCATTCTCCCGTCTCCAATCCTTCCCTCTTCTTTTGTAAGCGTCGTTTACATTTTCCTGTCTTTCAGCCTCGCCCTCCATTCCTCTCCTCCTCCCAGTCCTTCACTTAATAATTTAAACCACCTAACCAGTTTCACTGTGTCTCTTGCTTGGTAATTAGATTGTCTGCTATTGCATCAACATGGCCTGGTCCTACGTTATTCTCCCATTATTTTTTGATCTCACAGTAGTACAGGAAGAGCCAGGAGCAATGAAGAAAAGTACTGATGAGCACAGGGAGTTTGGCAGGAGTCTTGGTAGTGGGGAAAAGGGCCAGGGGAGTTCCCCGCACCAGGGGAGATCTGGTTATGCAAAAGATACTGCTTTTAAAAGCAAAGTACTCTCTCTTCTTTACTGCCACTCTCTGACACCCCATAAGCTTTCTGGATGAATCTGAAGACTTAGGTCTTTCTGCTTTCCTTTTCACAGACAGTGAGTGGACCAAAGCTCAAGAAACACACATTCAGCAGATGATGAGCACCCCATTCCTGTGTAGCGGTAGATCTCCTCTCAGGGGCTCCATTGGTTCCTTGGAGGCACCCTTACAATCTACTGGGTGCTTATGAATTTAAAAGAGCAATCACAACAAAACTATTAGATTATATCAACTTTGCATAGGTTACTGTGCTGCTGTAACAGCCTGCTGTTACACACTGAGTGTTAGAAGTAAAGGCCATGCCTGAGGACAGAAGCAGCTTGCAATAATATTTGGAGGAGATGTGGAAGAGGAAAGAAGTGTGTCTTCAGAGTGCAATAGCAGGAAATCCTGACATTTCCAAGGACTGGGAGATGGCCCCTTACCTCACCACATTCCGCATGAGCAAAAAGAATGCTTCCTTTGCCGAGGTGCAGAAGTTTTTACCATATATGGCAATCTGCAAAATAATAGTAGCTGTTAAGTATTTCAAATAATTAGGATGCCTCCTTGTATACCAGAACCTTACTGCACGTAATGCATAGTTCTCTCTGATATGCGGCCTTGAAACTCAGATGAACATAAAGCACTTCCCCCAGTCATCTGCTACCCCTCAATGCTTCCCATCAGGTTGGGACAGAGTATTATCCATCTTTCCCCTTCAAATCACCTGGTGATGAGCATGCCACCCCTTGTAATCTTGCAGGCAGTAGACTCAGTACTTAGTTTGCCAAGTAGAGCAAATAAGGTACTTGCTGAGGGATTCTTCTCACTTTGCTGGTTACCTACGCTAGATTTATAGTCAGTGGAAAGGAACAGGCACTTGTAGAGCAGAAATGAGTTGACCCCTGGAGGTATCTCCTTGGACCTGACACTGCTGTCACTTAAGAAGAAATCAGCAATACCGGCATCAAAGTCAGTGCATTTAAATCAGCATAAAGTAAAGCAGCTAAAGTTATTCGGGAACAAAACCATTTCTTCTTGGAATAGTATCCGCAAGGGTAAGATATACTAGAACAGCTCTTAGTACAGTCAGTTTACCAACTGTAACCAATATAGCCAAAAAGATTACTTCCTCTTCAAGATGGCATTAATTTGAAACATCAATTGCATGAACATGCGTTACAATGGACCCATTACAGCCACCTCCTTTGAGATAACAAGTCCGTGACTGTACCATTCAATCACTGAAATTGCTTCAAGTCCGAACATCCTAAGCTGAAATCTGTGTATGTTTATTTAGGTGAAAATCTGGAATTTCTCTTCTGGAAGCTAAGGAGGGTTATTTTAGAGTAGTATCACTGCTGCTGCTAGTAGAATTTGTGCTTTTAACTTCCAGGAGGAAATACAGATACCACATGCCTTCTGACCTTCTTATTCAAACACTGCCTCCAAACAGAAGTGTCATCAACACGCAATATGACACAAGCTAATATTCCTGTTGAAATCAGGATTTCAATTGCTGAATCAGAGGGGGAGTTAACCAGTTATGCCATCCCTTCCCACTTACTTTGGGAGGTGAGGGTGATGGACAAGGACAAGCATGAAAAGAGGCTGAGTTCAGAAGAAGAAAAAAAAAGATCTTACTTTTTCACGGTAGGACCACTTGCATTTCCTGAAAACTCCCATAAATCCCATTATTTATTCAGCAGATTCTAGTACTGCTGGCTGTTGACCAACTAGTAGTGGCTAGGGTATTTTAGTGTCCCAAATAGGGGAGACCACATGCAGAGGCAGCACATACCATGATGTAGGCATTTCTGTTTATAAATTTTAAGAATTTTTCCAAACACCAGAAACAGCATTTGAGGCAGCAGAGTAGAAATCTAGTGAAGGAGTTCTTTGTACCTGAAAAAAAGGAGGGAGTAAATCATAAACAGAACTCATGAACAGTCTTCAGAACATAGAAAGCTATTCAGAAGAAAATCTTAAATTGTGACAAAAGCAGAAACATTACTTCTTTTCTTCTAGGTATGGACTCTCTTTCTCAACCAAATTTAGCTCACTAGCTTTCAATTAGATCAGATCCACATGCTGTATGAACTTTGCATTAAGTTCCCAAGGACTCAATTTGAGTAAATCAGCACAAATTCACTGGTTTCAGATGAAACTACAATGGCTAATAATAATGGGGAATTAATCTCTTTTCATTGCTGAAAAAAACATCTTGGGAAAGCAAGGAAGTAATTTACCGAAGGAGGTCTTAAAAACCTAGAGCAGATTCATAAATCTCACCTTTCAGTTTGTGATCCAAGTACTCCAGTATTACTCTAATAAGCTGGACAATTGCAAGAATTAAGGCTCCAAACGCCAGCGAACCTGTATGGTATCTAAAACAAAATAAATGACTGTTATGTTGCGCATATGTGTATAGGTACAATTATATATGTATATGCATGTGTGTGTGTACATATGTAAATAAAATTATAAATGGAGAAAGGTCCATTAGTGGGAATTACATATACTAATGGACCTTCATCCTGATCTGCCAGAGAGAGGAACAGGATGAAGCTATTGGTGCTGTTGGTGTTTGTGTGAGGGCTGTGCCTGTCTGTCTGTTGAACTGTGTGGCCAGATGTGTATATATGTGTTGTATACATGTGCGCCTATGGGAATACCTGCTCAGCCTTGTAAGTGGTTGGACCCTGGTGGCATGGAGCTGCAGCAGCCTTGCACTATCGGGGTACAGGATTCAGTCTCCCGCAACAACTACGTTTTCCTGATTGTACTGGTTTTGGATGGAATAGAGTTAGTTTTCTTCATAGTAGCTTGTACTGTGCTATGTTTTGGATTTGTGATGAAAACAGTGTTGATAACGCACCGATGTTTTAGCTACTGCTGAGCAGCGCCAAGGCCTTCTCTGCTCCTCACCCCACCCCACCAGCGAGCAGGCTGGGGGGGCACAAGGAGCTGGGAGGGGACACAGCCGGGACAGCTGACCCCAACGGACCTAAGGGATATTCCACACCATATGACGTCATGCTCAGCATATAGAGCTGGGGGAAGAAGAAGGAAGGGGGGGACGTTCAGAGTGGTGGCGTTTGTCTTCCCAAGTCACCGCTACGCGTGATGGAGCCCTGCTGTCCTGGAGATGGCTGAACACCCGCCTGCCCATGGGGAGGAGTGAATGAATTCCTTGTTTTGCTCTGCTTGCGCACGCAGCTTTGCTTTACCTGTTAAACTGTCTTTATCTCAGCTCACGAGTGTTCTCACTTTTACCCTTTCGATTCTCTCCCCCATCCCACCAGGGGGGAGTGAGCGAGCAGCTGGGTGGTGTTGAGCTGCCTACTGGCGTTAAATCACAATGCTGACTAATCATTTTCATTTGATATTATAAGTCTGGCTTCCCTAGATGTAAAAAGGATACATGACAAGACTCACATCCAGCTCCACAGTCTTACCGTATTGCTCGTCCAAATGAAGAGAAGAGCGGCCACAGTGGAATATCAGCTGGTTTTCGAGAGGCCCAGTAGTAAGAGGCAAAGGCACCAGCAAGGGTACACTGACCCAGTGCAATTGCAAAGTTCACCAGCCAGAGAAAGACAAAGGCATTGGTTAACTGGAAGATGAAGATGTACTTATGGTACAGGCTTTCTCCTCCATAAAAAGCAAAAGTACACTGAGCACCCGGACACAATTTAGTCACATTGGTTGTGTTAAAAGTCTGTATAGAAAGAAAAATAAACAACGCGATGATAAGCAATGAATTCTGTGTACACAGTCTCTGAAGCTTAGCAGCTTACTACAAATAACATAATTCTGCTTGATGTTTCATTAGCTCATTCAACATTGCACTCCAATACTATGTAACCTGTTTACATATTTAAGGATTCATACTAATGTCTTATGCTGGCGCTTAACTTCCAACTATGCAGTTAGCAAACTGGGCTGTTCACCACATGCCTGAAACCTACATAAATGGAATTTGAATTTCAGAAATCTACTTTTAAAATACATAAATGCTTCAGTTTCATTAAAGAAAACCTGCTCACATTAAAAAAAAAAAATTATTTATTTGAAAACCAGAGGCCAAATCTGCAGTTTGGATAAATCACCACAATTGAATTGAAATCAACTGAGCTATGCCATTTTATACAAGCTGTGGATGTGGTCACAATTTCCCTTACCTATCTCAGAGTATTAAAACAGGAGTAGTCTTTACATTGATTTACTTTTCCCTATTTCTATTGCTCATTTCATGTATTTGCTCAATTTGGGCATGAAATAAAATCAGTCAATTTCTAATCCCTTTCTTTTTTAGTGTTCAGACATCAGCAGGGTGGGGAATTGTTTGGGATATACATAACCACAGCAGTATGCTGAAATGTAAACACCTGAAAATAACCCTGATACAACATTTGATAAATATTTCTAGTTTTAAAAAAATACTTAAATTCAACCCCACAGTCAAGTCAAAACATTTGACTGAAGACAAAACAAAAAAAAAGACAAATATTTTTGAAGCTTCATAAAGGTCACTGCTGTGCCAAAAGAACCCCAACATTTAGCTAAGCCTCTGCTTCAAAACATGGCTGGTCCTTGGGCAAGTTTGAGACACAGCTTTCAAAGTCTTCCATTGGCTTTTGAGGACCATAAAATAGAATACTCATGAATTCAAGAACACCTTTCCAAATAAACCTGTATTTCTGTGCCTTCCTTTCTCACCCTGTAAATTAAAACGGTTAATATTTACCTGCCTCACAGGACAGTTTAGCAGAAAAATTAGTTTATGTCTGTAAATTGCTTTGAACAAAGAAGTGTTATCTGAATGCTATTTGCAGATTTAACATGAGGAATCATTACTTAAATGCACATTTTCTACTAGCATTGCATTTACTAGTGATTAAGAAATGCAATTAGTATAGCTTTCACTATAGGTAAATATTTGTTACACTTACCTCTGGGTCACAAGTCAGGTTTGCATACTTGCACATTGTTTGATTAGCCATTACTTTATACACAGGTTCTCCTGATGTAGCCAGAAAACTGAATGAAATATTTTAAGGAGAAATCACAGAACTGTAGGCTTTGAGCAACTTAGGATTCTGCAGCTAAAGAACGTGTGCAGATAACAGAAAAACTGCTCTTGCTATGCAGAGATGTATATGAAGAGTTGATAGACAAGACTGAATACTCTCATTACTCAAAGAACTAAGGCAAACTCCATCCCAGAGCTATAATAACCCCTGACCAGAATGGGCAAGGGGAATAACCTTGAAAGTTGACTCAGTCTCTCCTGCACATCTACTTTTGACAAGGCAGATTATGCAGTAGTTCTTTAACAGTTCATATTTTGGTGGAAGTAGACACAGCGTATAAGGATAAACTAACATTGTCCTGAACAGCAATAACTGACCCTCTTTGCATGTGAAAGAACAATTTGTTTTCAAAAAGCAATTTTCCCCTTTCTGATACCTGGCCAAACCCCTGTTTGTTTGTTGTTGTTCTTTCCGGGAACAAACAGACAGTGGTCGCTGTTATGCAATTTAGAGAGGACTCAGTGCACTGTATGTCGTCTCACTCCTTTCCTACACTTTCCTGAACAAAACACACCTGGAGCCCACCCCACCCCCAGCTAACTAAGAAACCATTAACATCAGGCCTACAGAGCATGCAGCACATTAAAGGCCATATTCGCTCTTTGCTGAGGGTCCTTTCTTACCCCTTAAAGTCAACCTTATGTAGTACACAAGGCCTTGTATGATCCCCCTGCCTTGGCGTGAATTTTAGTCCAGTTCTTTTTAATGAAATTAAATTCACTCTCCGATTTGTACATCACATGGAAATGTGCAGTGAGGAAGAGTGCATCAGTGCAGCAAATGCTAAGTGACCAAATAGCCCTCTTAACGCTGGTTTGGTTAAGGTGAAATAGCAGAGAATTATCTGGTCTTGCAGACCAGAAGACTGTTCCTCCAGAGAGGTACACAGACAGAAGGATACACAGCTGTCACAGCCCAGTAGGAAATACAAATTGCAATGAGTATGAAGGTGACGACTGGGTAGAACAATGTAGACATTATATAGCCAATAGCCCTATGAAAGAAACCAAACATATCAGTAAGCTACAATAATTTAAGAAACAAGCTTTTTATCAGTCCTCTTTCAGCATCATCCTTTTTACTTTGAACTCCTTGTTGATAGTGGTAGCATAATCTAGTGCTGGGATCTCAGAATACTGCAGGTTCTTTCTTCAAATGTCTTCACATCTTCACTTTGTCATTCCTACCACCCCACTTCCGTCGGCAGCACTACAGTCAACTTTACCAATTTGCCATGTTCAAGCCTGTCTTCTACTTCCTCCTTCTCCATTACTGCTTCACAGACCCAGCTCTTTCCAGGTCACAAACCCATTTCAATCACATCTCCTTGCTGACCGCTGCAGACGTCACCCTTTATTTCCTTGTCCCCCCCTGCTCAGCTCCTATGCTCTTCCTTCAAGCTCCTGCACACCCGAAATCACCTCTTGCTACTTTGTACTTGAGGACTCTGTTCCCAGCCCCTTTCCTGCCTTAAGTATTAACTATTTTGGGGCAGGGACGTTCAGCTTGTCTTTGTACTGCCAGGACGTGCTAACACCTTCCTGTGAGCATGTGACGTTCCTTGCATGTGCCATAAACAAGTGGTGTTCGCCTCTGGCTGTTGGCAGGCAGAAAGAATAATGGCCTTTCACTGTTGACAGCTTAGAGAGATCCTTTTAACATCAAGGCTGACCTTTTACTAATACTTCTTGTGGCTAGAATGCGACTAGCGAGCAGGAACCTGAGCACACCAGTGCTTACTCCGCCAGGGACTCCTCTGGAGGAGAGTGAGTCGATACAGCCCCTCCGGGTAAAGCGGCTGAGCTGTCTCAGAGGCAAACACCTCCAGCTGGGTATCTCGCTGGATGTGATTTCAGACAGCATGTGTTTTGTTCACTGAAGCTTACCGGTTGGTTCTCTTTACACTCCTGTCATCTACCTCTTCCCATTACTCAAAATTTTCTTTCCAGTCACCCTGTAAGCTTATCACGAGCCTTTTTTCTCTTATTATTTCCTATAGTATTTCTCCTATGACTTGTGGCACTTCTGATGCTATTTGTTTTATAGGAGGCAGTTCCCAGCATGTAAAAGGAGACAAATTTACTCAGTTCCTGCTGCTAAACTAGTAAATGCCGGGGGGAATGCAAGGGAACTGTCACATGCAATCAAGAGGTTCAGAGCAACACGACAATTTCTGTCTGAGCCTAGAGATGTAAAAGTCCATTAGGAGTCACACAGGAGGACACAGCCTTATGCTGCCTGAAAAATAATCACTACGTATCAGCAGTATTCAGCAGTTAATGGTAGGCCTCTTAGTTACCACTGAGACCATGGACAGTTACTCCAAGAAACCGAGTAACAACTGTTAATTGTTTCTAACTATGGATTTCAAGTCAATTATTAGCATTATAATTGTAGTATTTTTAAAAGAGTAGTTAAAAGGTATTGAAAAATGTAATTTGATTTCCTGTCATTAGCAGCTTATTTCTCATCTTCCTGAATACAGGGCAGGGTCTGTTAGGTTTACAGTAATTACATACAGTGTTTCACTTCAGGCATTATGCATGAGAGTAAAAACATCACCCTCAAGTGACCTTTCCATGCTGCTGAAAAACTACAGAATGTTATTACTTGTCAGCAGAAAGTTTATGAACTTTCTGAAATCCTTCTACCTGTCAAGGTTGTGAATAAAAGTGTTGCAGAGTGTTAAAAGTGTTCCTGGATTTTAATGAACAGGAATTAGAGTATAATTTAGTGCTGCCAAAATTAATTGCTATCCCTTAATTGCACAGTAGCGTAAGACAGGAAACAGACACCTGGCTGAATACAGAACTTCAGTATTTCTTAATCCCATTACAAAAATCCCAAATCCTGATTCCTGAGAACCACAATGTCAACAGAGATGACAGAAAACTACAAGCAAGTGCACACAGATAAACTCAGAACTAACTCTATGTGCTCTAACAGCAGAGCTCTACTTCCAAGGCCTATGAGACCTTAGCCTATTTGCAATGAAATCCAAGGGCCTGATGTTTTAAGACCCTTTCTCCTTTGTTATATTTCCATTTTTAAAAAAAAGAACTACGTATAAGTCAGGAACCACTGTGAATAAAGTCTATACAGATTTCAGGAAACACAAAATGAAGAGGTCTCCTAGGCCTTCAACTCTCATATCCTGCTCTGCTTTCTTCTTTACTCAGAGCTGAAAAGAAGTATCTTGGACTGCACCATATTACAATGTCTGGTCATGGAAGTCTCCTTTTCTCTCTGCAGATTTATGCATGTCCGCATGAAAGTTTGACTGGAGCCAGAAGAATCCAGTCTTTCCTAAATAAAAGCCACAGCCAAAACACCACCAATCCTCTACCACTAGTACGTCACTCCGGAGACAATCCAATGACAGAGCAAAGTTGGCAGCTATATGTCCCAGGTTCCTATTAACAGTGTACCACACTTAGCATTTCTGCTGATACACCTTCTTGCACTGAGGATATGTGGTACCACTAACAGTATATGCACTCTTAAGGCAGGATGCTGAGACATAAGAAATGTCTTACTGCAAAAGAGAAAGCTCTTAAAAGCACAACCTCATTAACAGAGAACTAGCATTCCTTATACTACCTGTTCGGCTCAACAAATCCAGTGTTGTACTTTAACCCCCAACTTTCTGCCCTTGGTAGGGCAAGATGAAGCTCAACAAGAGTATACCTTAGAAATCATTTAATAAAATTTGAAGTATATTGAAATCAGACAAACATACCTACTACCTTCCTTCAACAGTGCAATAGCAACCCGGATCCGATTCCTTAGGAAGATCAGCATCAGTATGATTATGACCTCAACAACACAAAGTATTATCACTGTAAACAAACAAACAAACAAAGTTAGATTTATGCTGCCTCTGTAAATTGTTTTTTTTTCCTTGTATTTTACACTATTGTTCATAAACTCCATAAAATTCTCTGCTAGAGGAGTTCTCTCTTTCTCTCACTGCACCTGCCAATCTTCAATCCCATTTCATAGTTTTGTAAGTTCCAGTGTAGGG